GCTGAACAGGCCCAGCTCCCTCAGCCTCTCCTCATAGGGCAGATGTTCCAGGCCCCTGATCATCCTTGTGGCCCTGTGCTGGACTCTCTCCAGCAGCTCCACATCCCTCTTGTACTGTGGAGTCCAGAACTGGACACAATACTCCAGATGTGGCCTCACCAGGGCTGAGTAGAGGAAATAGTTTGAACTCTACCAAGGGAACAGAAAGCAACCAGGTCCAATTCTTCTTGGAGCATTTCTTGTGACTCTTACACTCGCATTTCAGCCTTAGCAGGAGATCTAGGTTCTTTGCAGAGAATTTTCAACAAAGTTGTGATCAATACCTGCACATTTCATTTTGCCCACTACATCTGTTACTGAGCCTAACCCTTATGCCAATCCTCTCTCCCACCATAATGGCTCCAAGACAAAATATGTCTAAATGTCCAACATAGCCTATATGAAAACAGAATCACTGAAAATTACCAAATGCAGAATTTTAGAGGAAAGCTAAGACTACAGATCAGGAAGAAAAAAAAAATCAGTATATGTCTGATTGCAGCTTCTTTTCTGTTACCATAATACTAAACCAAGCTGAAAAGCTCAGATAGAATTTTTGAGAAGTTTTCACTGGGGTATTTTAAGAGCACATATAGTTTTCTGAAATCTAGACGTGTCTGCATTTTTTTTAATGTCTATAAAATATGGTTTCTCAATGCTTAGAAAAAGCACAGGAAACAGCCTCCTGTAACTTTTAAGAACTGGAACATCCTACTTATGAGGTCAAAATATTTAAGTCTTTGTATTTTAAGATGCTAAGTTTCATCAAAGACAACTCATCACTAAAGAAATATTAATCAGTTCTTGAATTCATGTTCTTACTGAAATGCTCAATTAAAATTAGTTTGTATTGACAAAACCTTCAAAATTGAAATGAGCACAAAAGCACAAATCAGCAGCAGGACGTCTGCTACTATAACTGCAAATCAGGATGGAATTAGCAGCAGGATCCCACCCTCCCACCCCACTGTTGATAAGGTCCTTCTTCACATACTGGCAGGAACCATATACTGACTCCTGAAAGAATGATAGCATTTGTAAAAGCAGCCAAAACAAGGTGGTGTCATAAAAAAACAAACAAAAAGAAACACCACAATAGCAACAACAACAAAAAAATGGTGCCACATTGCCCGTTCTCTCACCTTGTCAATGCCAAACTTATCTGACATAAGATCAATCCAAAGCTCTATAATACAAAGCTGTCCTTGCATTTCAGTCAGCTACAAGCACAGTGTTGACAAAATTGAAATCTTTATGCAGTAGTAGCCATGCTTCTTAAATTTGTTTTTGATTTTAGTATACATAAGGAATTTCTTGCATCTGCTTTTAAAGGTTAAACTACTGAAACACAGGTTATTTTACATGCAAATGCACCATATAATCCTAAGAAACCAAAATGACATTTTTAAATAGCAGGCTAAAAAGACTATGTAATATACTAATTCAGAGTTATGAATCATTTACATCAACACTTAAGTTGTTACTTAAAGAGGCTGCCAGGATTTTTCCAAACATGAAAATCTTCATTCTGTGACTTGCATGTCTAATTGCAGCACAAGCACAGCTGAACACCTCCATGTGAAGGAGGTCTCAGAATATCATAGAGCTCATTTTTCTCCAAAAATGCAACTTGCATCACTACTTGCCTCAGAGTTGGATGTTGCTTTGACAGCATTCAAATCAGATCCTGAACAAAAAGTGTTTCCTGCACCACAGACGATAAGGCCTTTGCCATCCTTCCAGTTTTCCAATTCAGTTACCTTCTCCTGGAGTTCTATCATCATAGTGCCTGTCATAAAGGAGAGAAGGAAATTTCTCAAGAGGATGTGATTATCAATATCATATATTACATTTTTCACTACCAAAAACAAGTTATCAGTGTTAAGTTATGGGCTTAAAAATACAAGACAGCAACAAATTCCCCCCTAAAATTACAAGCACTGTAATAGATGGACTTCCTGGAATTCTGAAAAATATTCCGCAGTCTGTGCTACACTCACAAAAAGGAAGTGTATAAACTCCAGCTGCTTTATTTTTGTTTGCAATGTGAGCTTATAGGTATCCACTCATGGATAGGTCTATCCATCTAATGACAACCTTTATGTTATCTTCATTCCACTGCACCCAAAGAGCTGGCAAAGCACAGAAGATAACCATGTGCCAATTATCATATTCACATGATTCTTTTTTTTTTTGGATAACTAATGGAGAGGTGAGAATTAATATTCACCTACACCAAGAATTCACTCCTCAGCAAAGCAATCTTTCCCCAATAGATCCTTGTTTTCAATCGACTCCACATTAGTTTAATCAAATAGCACCTACTGAGGACAACTTTCCCAGTCTCCATCAAAAAGCTGCTCTTCAGTGGTCTCCCCGAGTAGTATTTTTAACAACAACCTGTGGTGGTTTCTGTCACAGCCTTACCCTTCCTGAATTGGAATTCCAGAAATCCAGCTATTCTGGAGCTAGTCCTAGATCCTTCGCAAAGGCACTAAGTTAAAGCCTTTTCTCTCTCAGTGCCCATGACTCAGACATACACTTAGGACAAAGCACTTGCAGAAAGCTGTTTCAAAAAGCAGCCTACATACAGGCTGATCTCACTCTCAGCCTTACCTTCCTTTGACAAGGACTTACACAATCCTACCTGTTTCCAATACAGGTGTGCTTTACCCTCAACAGCTCTTTGCCCCTTTTTTTTTTTCTTTCTTTCTTCAAATACTGCTGCTTTTTGACCCCACTCCTGCATGTACAGAACTTTTTTTGCCCTAAAATCATGTCCTCGTATCCATCCCCACCTGCTGAGGTTATTTTCCTTCCTGCTTGTTTTATTCTGCAGGCCCTTGTGAAGACCAGTGCCAGGTCAAGAACGAATGTTCCACAAAGCACTTTTACCTTAGACTTGCTCTCAGTCACCAAAAGAGCACATTTTGACAATAATCCTGAGGAGAGCAAGAATTAAGTGGATATTACATACTGTATAATAAAAATGATACCTTTTTTTGGCTATACATCTCTAACAAACGTCAGAAAAACTGCTACCTTTCCACTCTGTACTTACAATTTAATCATGATTCTTATGCGTGGCACATACTATCTGCTTTCACTGCATTTCACTTTGTTGATCTTGAGCTCTTTTAGCAGTTGATCAAGATCATTTGCCTCTCATTGCTCTGCTCCAAAATACAATCGCCTTTCAAGTCCTCCCAATATGCAGTCATCTGACAATTTCAGCAAGTCACTTTCTATTCTGTCTTTCAAGCCATGAATGAAAATATGGAGCAGAACAAGGCCTAGAAGAGATTTCTTTGGGTCTTACAATGTCTCCCCAGCTTGCAAGTATATTTGACAATGACTTTTCTTCGTATGCCATTCCTTAAATGTGTGGCTCAACCTCATGGATTTCACTTTGCCTGTATTTCCCACATTTTTGCATGAGAGAAATATTTGGGCCAGCACTGAAGCTGTGCCACAAGCAAGATATAGTGCAACCACTGTTTGCTTTAATCATCATTTTAATATTTAATATTAAATATAAACAACAATATTTTAATATTCATTTAATTGCAATATTTGAATATATTAATATTAACATCTAATTATTATATGACATGATAATATAATAATGTTTAATGTTTAATTATTAATTTTTTAATATAAAATAATTTTAATAATCCTTTTAATAGTCAAAGTGGAGAGGTACCAAACAGTCTTTCTGCAAAAGTATTATAGAAGCCAAAAATCTAGTTAGCTGGAGTTTACAAAAGGGAACTGCACAAGCCAGCTGCATGCAATGGCAAGGAACAGCAGCCCCTGAACAGAAGCGAACAGAAAACCCTGTCCCCTACTCATAGGAGGAGATCCCTCACATTACTGACTACAGTGACAGCACCAAACTAACATTTTACCCATAGACATGGTCCATAATGACTGATAAAATGATCAGGCTGCACCCCTAACGCAGAACCTCCTTTCCTTGGACTTTCAGTGTTTGATATCAATAAGTAAGTTCATGCTCTTCACAACACTAAATTTATCCAGAAAAACATTTTGTTTGCCTTTTCATTATAATTTAAGAATAAACATTTTCAAGACAATTCAAGACAGTAGAACTATCACTACTGTTACGCAGTTTCTGCAAGCTGGCCCATTTTCTTTTAAATTACATTCAACTTTAGTTCAGCAAGAGGTTAGGCGGCTGAAATTGGTTCCACCAGCTGAAACTGACCTTGTTAGCATTTGTTTCCAGAGAGACCATTTCAAACAGGTGGCTATCAGATTCCAATTAAGAGGAGATAAAAGGCATAACAAGCTCCATGTTGCCCATTACCAATTTGCTAACAATTTTCTCCCGCTTTTAGCTCCATGAGTTGCCCAATCTTAGAATAAACATAATTCCTTTGAGATAAAAAGCTGCTGTGTGAAGTACATGCCTTGTAAATAGGATTTTTCTCAAAAGCTTAATGACATCTTAAAGTTTTCTAAGGGAAGCCTATATCTATATATAATTTCACATCTGCCAGTATTCAGCCCTGAGACACAGAATCAACAGAGTTTCTTTGAGGTGGGGTGTTTATAGTCTCTTAGGAAGGCAATGGGTCCTGCTCAGGTAAGGTTGGAGTTGCACAACCTGTCCCCTTCCGACTGCAGTTTGCAGAGGAATGTTACACCGAAATCAAAGGGAGACTGAATCAATATCATCAACAGCAGTGGCCAAGGGACCACATGGTTTTGCTTCTATCCTTCCCACTACAGCAGCAAACATCTCTGTCGGAGGTATGCAGCAGAAAGCAGCAGTATCCTCACCGCCACAGCAGGATTGGCCCAGCAAATTTTGTGGCTATTATGTAGTTAAATCGAGTACTGTCTCCACAGGGCTCTGTACACCACCTTAAACAGAAGTGCTTGGCCACATGCCTCGTGCTATATGCCAATCGGGGTTCACAGCAAAGACAGATGGTTTGGTTCTCTCATTTTCTTGTGGCCTTTGTTTGCTGCAGTAACTAATTCAAATACACTAATAGCTTATTTTCATGGCACTCCTATGAGGAGAGATCATTTTAGACCAACTGAGCTAAAGAAGATACTCACCACTATGGGGTGTCCAGTTTGAGCTATGCACTGTAAGACTTCAGTACATTAACATCATATGGCACTTAGCACATTCAAAGCCCAGCCACCAGTGAGCTACACAGCAGCTGGGACTGCTCAGCACTTCTGCGAGTCAGTTCTGAGGGCCTCCTGCTAAGTGCCCAGAAAAAATGAAAAACATAGTTGTAGGGCTCCACAAAAGTTCACTTTAAGCCATTCAAATTATATCTGATCTCCATAACAGACTGGGCTTTTCTGTTCTTTTTCTGCTACTGCCTCTCATTTCTCGCAGCCCTTTCAACTTCCACAACAAAGAAGTCAAAAACTTACAGTCCACAGACTATCTCTTTTGAGTCCAAAATAAGACCAGAGCTAAAGAAAAAGGACATGCAACGACATAATCAGGATTGCATAATAATGTATATCTTTAAAAATGTCTACCTGTCAGCATAATCTTCATCATAACATCTTCTTTGCTGACAGGTAGACATTTTTAAAGATAATCTTCATCATAACATCTTCTAGATACAACTTTTCAAGTTTACAAATTAGGTAATAATTTTGCAGATCAGCCTTTAAAAAGGAAACAAAAGGGAAACTGTAGAGACATTTGGGTGAATTATCAAAAATTCTGTTCTTCTGTTAGGATTTCTTCCTTGCAGCAAACTATCAGTAATAGGAGGAGTAGATTGACATTCTCCATGTAAACAGTTCTGTGCTTTTCTAGTGGGTTGCAAATATATTTGCTAGTAGTAAAGGAACAGTGAGATCTGGGCAGGAAAATAGAACAGGAAAGGAACAAGATGACACAAATGTATCCATTTCAAAATATTAAACAATAAGACTTCATAGGGTAAGGCTTACAAAAAGCTCAAGTTTGGGAAGGGGCAGACCCTGAGCCTTTGTCATTTATGTCTGCACAGAGTCATTTAAATTGGAATATTTCAGACAGAGAGATAGCGGACGCGCCTACCTTGTAGATGAAAACATCTCCTAATACAAGATTAATGAAAAGTGGCATGTGATTTTTGATAGCTAAGCATTGCCCTTTGTAAAAGTTACTGGGAATATTCCTAATCTGCAACAGCTGAGAATAGCCAGCTCACCTAATCTTCTTTTAACAGGCATTAACATTTAAGATATAAGACAAATAATGAAAAAAAAAAAAAGGCAGTTTGGGTGGTTGCAAAAGACTGAATTACCAAAGCGTAAATTACAGGAAAGACATTAGGTAAAGAACAATGCAAAACACCACCTACAAAGCTAAAATGATACCTACCCACTCTCTTAAAAATACTCTGTGTTTCCACTGCAGAAAAGACAAAAAGAAAAAAAGAAATAAATTTGAAAGAGCGGAGCAACAGACTGTGTGCTGACTGAAAGAAAAGGGATGGGCATTTCTGCCAGAAAAGTCCTTGTGTCATGGAAAATTTACATTCTTATGATGCCTACTGCAAAACTACTACAGTACAGAGCAGTGGACACTTAACTGCACCTCTCACTAAAAGCCAAACATTTCTTCTGTTAATTAAAGCACAGCTTTTACTTTTTCTGGAGCAAAATGCTAGAATAGCTGACTGAAGGGGAAACAAAACAAAACTGCACATGAGAAAAAGAGCATCCCCCAGAATACCTGTGAAGGCATTCATTAGCCTTGGGTTGTTCAAGGTCAGGATTCCAATGCCATCCTCTTCTTTGGAAAGGTTGATGGATCCACCACCAAACTGCTGAAGTTTCTTCTTTATCAGTTCTTCCTGATAGCCATGAGCCAAGTCATATAGTGATACCCTCTGCTGTTGTATTATCCTTTCTTTTGCAGTCAGGAGCAAATTTTTCCATAGACAAGCTGCCATTTCTGGAAAAACATGTGAAAAAAAAATCATCAGAGATTGTCCTTTGAGATCCATCTCAGTCCTCCCACAAAGACAGCAACAGGAGAGCAGAAAGTAACATTGAGGTGAAGCAATCACAGAAACCTACAGAAGCCTGATCTCTGCAGATAGGATTTGCAAAGTTCTCAATTTAACTCTACCTCCACAAAGTTAAAAAGGAGTTTTAAGCAGTGATCTTGGTAGTTAAGCCAAAAATTAAAATAGTTTTAAAACTTGTCTTGTAAAAATTATGGAAAAGTATTTGGGTGCAAAACAAGGAGGGTTGTAGTAAGACAATGATCTTCCCACTAGAACAGTTCACTCTGCACTATTTTGCCAAAAATAAATGAGTAAATATAAAGAGAGAGAGAGGAAAAAAAAAATGTAATTATCAGGGTCTCCTTTTTTGTTTTTTTGTTTTGTTTTTTTTTTGGGGGGGGGGGGGTGTTTTTGCTTTGGTTTTTTTTTTTTTTGGTGGTGGTGGTGTTTTTGGTTTTGTTTTATGTAAGAAACTGTCACATAGGACCATTCTGAAGATCAATCCTTGAGAAGACAGAACCAAAGATGATTTCTATAAAGAGGTCACTTCCTTGTCTCATAATCCCACTAACACATCTTAAAATTATTTATCATCTAGGTGCTTGTAGATATAAGTCTTTCTCAATCACGCTAGTAGCTCTTGCTCCACTTTGAGTTAATCTTGTTTAGACACAGACCAGAACCAACATAGCTTTCCAAAGGAGGAAAGGTATACAACAGTATTAAATATTGAACATGGTACTTGCCTTTCACACAGCCACGTAATATTGGTACATTTCTATGTACCACTGCATCCACGGCATCTTAAAGCTCCCCTAGTCATTCCCCAACACACAATCATGCAACAAAATCTTCTGTCCAGGCACTGGTTTTTGCTCAGGAAAAAAATGAGCACTGAAAACACAGATAGTGGAGGCGCTCTCTGTGAAGTGCAGCACAGCAGCAGAAGATAAGATCGCACAGGGCACAGGCCCCTGCACACTCTGCTCTGATTAGACACAGAGCAATTAGTTCCTAATTTTCAATGAATACAAAACCTCCCCAATCTTCATAAAACAGACTTGATTTAATTGTCTAGAAACCCCAGGATTGGCTCGAAAGCAAGTAAAATTTGTTCTGTTAACCTAACACCCTGCCAGATTATACTCATTCAATCATTTTTATACTATTAGATTTTACCTAGAAAATAAAGTCCTACAGAGCAAAAGAGACTTAAGATATGGAAATTTTATTCCAAGAAAAAAAAAATAGAAAGTGTCTGTCAGTTTTAACTGTGTGGCACTAACTACTCTAATATTATCACTATGATAATGAAAAGCATCAGCAAGTGAGGGATTAGAAAACAAACTGGACATCACTGCCTGCTGATCTTGAGTCACGATTAATGATTCATGCAAAGTAGTATCATCGAATTTTTTTTTTCTAAAACCATCTCTTACAGTGCTGGTCAGAGAAACTACCTTTTTTAAAAATAAAAATAAAATAAAAAGATTATTTTAATAGCCAGCCATTCAGAAAAAGCTTAGTGTTTAAGCCTCAGCTCTCCTAAACTAAATGGATTTCTGCTGATCTATGACAAAATTTCAAAATTTTAATCAGTATGAAGCACTTGCAAACCACTGCATGGAAGAGATTGATTTTTTGCACCATAAGTGAAAGCAATGCAAGAAAGAGATGCTGCAGTATGAGTTGAATGTTATAGGTCAATTCAAAAGACATTTAACGTACTAAAATTTTGTAATTTTCAGTTTAGCATAATGTAACTGTGCCTGTTTAGAGAGATTTTCCAAAATGAAGTCTTAGTTAAGCTTTAAAAAGACAGACATGTAGCCACTAACATCTCTGATGCACATAATTTAAGCATGGTTTTTATAGTGACCAAATATCTGACAGTATTAGAATAATAAACACTAGGGATGACCAGTATTTCTCAAATGTTTTAAAAAGTGCCAGACCTTTAGCGTATCACTGGTGACAACTAACAGACCAGCTATAATTGCTGTTTCCACAATCTCTAGTTACATCTGTAACCTGTTCTTGAACCTCTAATGTAAGATAATGTTTTAAATCCTTCTGGCACTTGCGTGACTTTACATGACCCTTGCTTGTGGGCTAGCACATCACTGGCTCATACGAACACATACCCAAACCCTCAGCATCAAAGCAGTAATACACTTATGCAAGAACAGTGTGTGCATATATATATATAGATATATACATATACACACACACCCCTTCTATATACAGACAGACACATATAAACATACCCCAACACATTCACAAAACTCTCTAGCAGAGGCCTGCTAACTACGTAGTTACAGTTCAGTCGTCAAACACCATGATTCTGTTGCAACACCAAGTTTTGTCCTCTAACATCCTCTAGTAAACAGCAACCTTTGGCAATACAGCCAGCTGCTAGCAGAGCAGACAGCATACAGAGACGTGGTCAGAGCAACCTCCTGAGTGGGCAGAACTAAGACAAAAATACGCTGAGAGGCAAGATGAGCATTTGAGCTGTATGTGTAACAGGGTAAGCTGCATCAGGAAGCACCTACACAGAAATAACCAGCAAGATCAAACATGCAAGTAGGGTAAATTCCAACTCAAAAATGCTGCTGGAGATACCGACACAAGTCACTGGGTAATAAAACGTGTGATGTGGGAATGTGTTTGTAGCACAATGAGCTCACAATGATGGGACTGTCATCTGTGATACCTCAGAGACATCATATATCAACCAGGCCCTTTTGTTTGGGCCTGGTTGATATATGCAAGCAAGTGTGAAGGGTAAACACAGATTAGCAAGTCACCTGCAAAGACACAGCAGCTGAAATTCTGGTTTTGGATAAACATATCCTGAGATTAAGTGTGGCAGAGAAAAAAATATGAAAGAGGATATTGCAGACAGAAATCCATAAATACAATCTCAGGCAAATGAAAATACTCAATGGACATTGCAAGGGAACAATGAGAACGCATGAGAAGAGAAGGCATGTCGCCCCTGTGGCACTGCCACAGCATCGAAAGCAGCCGGCACATCACGAAGCCAGGGAGAACGGCCCCGCTGGACATCTCCAGCAGGAGCAATTGCAGTGACGAGAGCATTAGTGTGCAGGCAGGAAGTTGAGAGAAGGAAGATGCCAGCTGAGGGTGACGAGCCGAGCGGGCCTGATGCTTCAGCTCTCTGCGCGCCCGCGTTAGCGGCGCCCGTGGAAGCGGCCGTGGCAGCAGAGCGGAGCCAGGGGCTGCGCGGGACGGCGGAGCGGGGAGCCAGCGGCCACCCCGCTGGGGCTGGCACTGCTGGGCTTACGCTGTGAGAGCGAACAGAGAGCACAGCAGGGAGGAGGGCAGCCATGGACACAGCCCTTCCGCAGGAGAAAAACAAAAAGGGAGGTTGAGAACAGGCGACAGTCACTAACGCCAAACCCAGGAGCTGGTCAGCGACTGTGAAGGGGGAAGAAAGAGTTCTTGGACAGAGAGAGGGAATTCAACAACCACCACCAAACAGAGAACAGCACCAGCTGAAAGTCTAGTCAAGGGAATGGGCCTCATAGCGACCGGGAGTTATGGACCATGAGTTCAGGCAGGGAGCTGAACTGAAGGGAAGGAGATCTCACTCACAGGTTCCTCGGCAGCACAAGCTGAAAAGGCCACTATTACCAGCTGCTTGTCACCACCCCTCGCGTGAAGGTTACACAAACACCCACCTACCTCTCCTGCTCAGGCATCGCTAATTCCTTCCATCAAAAATGGGTTAGAGCCACTTGCATGCATCATGTAACAGCCCCTTCCAACTCTAATTGCCAGCTGAGGCTCGAGACAATCCACTGAAGGAGCAGCGAGCAAAGGAACAGCCTCGAGCAGGTTGAGGGCTCTTTTTTAAATTGTGGGGGCCCCAAACTTGCTCAATGCTACTCTGGCACATGCAGTGTGGAAAACACATGAATTAGGTAGGACCAGTAACCTCTCTAGTTCAATACGAGGATCCTTGAAGAGCTTTGCAGCCCATCTAGAAATGGGCTGTAGGAGGAGTTAGTACCGTAAATGACTGTCCTACACTCCCAATGTTAGAGAACAGGCAGTCCTGGCTCCAAGTTTCCTGATGTCAGAGTTAGAAACAATGTTTGCTTGTTCAGAATTTAAGAAAGCAAAAACTGAGAAGATACCCAAATTAAATAAACAGTTTCAAGCAGAGCATAAATGAAATTAAAATAAATTGTGGGGGGGAAAAAAGCTTTTAACACTGTAAGCTAAATAGAATCATAGAATTGTTAAGGTTGTAAAGGACCTCTAGAGGTCATCTAGTCCAACTCCCGGGCACGCACAGGGTCAGTAACCTGCAGGTTTTGTTGTTCTTCCTTTTTTTCTGGCTTGTAATTTGCACCTCTTCCCTGCTTCCTTTCAGCAGCCACGATTCCTACCGAACACCTCATTTTTTTTGCATGGCAAGCTAAGTGTTTTCTAACTTATTCGTTCTCTGTTTACCTTTTTGTATTATTAAATGCTCCCTGCAGGCCACGCTTCAGACCTGTACAGGTGTCGCCGCTCCTAACCAACTACAGCCTCTTTTCATCACGACTTAACCGTTTTAACGATCTTCCCCCCGTTTCC